GAAGGTCATGTTGAAGCGGAGCCATTTCCCACAGTGACCACCAACATTTAAGGCGTTGCCTAAACGGCGAGTTAGAAAACTCTCAAGGTTTCGCCGGTACGAGTCCAGCGAGTTGGTGAGCCGGGCAAAGTGTCCGTTCAGCTGTGTTCTCTTTATCTCTCACGAGACTTTTTATCAGCGCTCTCTCTCTCTCTCTACTCCGGGCGGAGCTTGTTGCGGAGCAACACTGTCACTGACAATTTGTGTTACAAAGTAGCACAGACAACTTTTTTTGTTTTTTATTCAATAAACTTTGCTGAAATCATGTAATTTGGCAACAAGGTTTTTAATGGATTAAATTAAATAATAAGGAAAATGTTCAAGTTTATGAAAATGAATTGAAAAAAAGCAAAATGAAGAAACGTAAAAAATGAAATAGCAGAAATGTTCAGTTGGTGTGAGTGGGCTTGTATGTAAAATGGAAAATTGCATTTGAGTGAGCAAAAAGGAGGAAAAGATCAATTGATACAAGTATACACTGGTGATAAGGAGAAAGGGAGTAGGGCAGGGAAAGGGAAGGGGTGATCAAGCAATGAAAAGAAAAACAAGGATTGGGGGTAAATTGTGTTATGAGTTGTCAATATTTAATATTAACAACAAAGAACAGTGATGATAGTGAAGATCAATGAGAAATCGTAAAACAGGAGATAATATAGGGTTGTAACACATAACAGCAACTGGTGTGCGTTTGTGTTGTTGCAATGTTAGGCTTTAATAAGAAATTAAGCTTTGAGAAAAAGGTAGCTTATTGTGTTTAGTGTGTTCAAGTTCAGGATTGAAAAAAAAGGAAATTGTTGAGAGTATATAACAGATGAAAAAGGTAAGAAAATGAAATAGCAAAAGCGCTCGTGAAAATTGAAAAAGGTCAAATTGTACAGAAAGTTAAGAACAATGTGGTCAGAAGGTTTATAAACAAAAACATAAAGGAAACAATGAAATGACTTAAAGAGAAATTAAAAACTTAAAAAACAGAAAAGTTTTATCATGTTAGAAAGATTGAAAGATTGGGAAAATAAACGAAAAGGTAAAATTCAACAAAAATCAAATAATAATAAAACAAAAAAAAGTTCATTGATCAATGNGTATATAACAGATGAAAAAGGTAAGAAAATGAAATAGCAAAAGCGCTCGTGAAAATTGAAAAAGGTCAAATTGTACAGAAAGTTAAGAACAATGTGGTCAGAAGGTTTATAAACAAAAACATAAAGGAAACAATGAAATGACTTAAAGAGAAATTAAAAACTTAAAAAACAGAAAAGTTTTATCATGTTAGAAAGATTGAAAGATTGGGAAAATAAACGAAAAGGTAAAATTCAACAAAAATCAAATAATAATAAAACAAAAAAAAGTTCATTGATCAATGAAGCCAGTAGCTGCATCCGTCGTTTTAATCAAAAATTAAAAATCATAAATAAATAATTTTTCATTTGATGTGTGGTTTCATCTTCACAGAAAAGAGAAAAAGAAAAGGTGTGCAAATCAACTGTGCTGTAAAATCGGGAGAGAAAGAGAAGGATAACAAAACAGCTCAAAAAAGTATATCACCAAAGTTTGCACTTGTTGAGATGAAAAAGAAGGAGAGAAAAGGAAAAGCAAAAAATAAAAATGTCCAAGTTACTTGGATTTTTTGAGAATTCCAACCAGTGGCTGATCGGTAAAGCTAACACCGGCAGAGGTTGAAACACTTCCGGAAACACTTGTTTGACTGGCGCCATTTGTGGCGGAGCACGGCTCAGATTGGCCGGAAACAGCGGAGACACAACTGCGCCCCCCTCTTCCGTTGACACCCCCTCCTTCAGTCAAAAGCGCCACCGATTCAGGAAGGGGCGGAACTTGAGGAGGAGGAGGAGAAAAGAATCCCTCAAGCTCGGCAGAAGTGGCCACTTGGTGGCGCTCCGGACTCATTAGATTGCCCAGATTGATGATGATGTTCTTGTAGACGCCGGAGCTTTCGCTGTGCCCTCCGCCATTGGAATGGCCCTCCTCGCCACCGCTTTCCGGCGAGCTGACGTTCTCCTCGACGACCACCGAACCGGAAGCCACGGAGAGGACCGACTCGTCAGAGGAGAGCGTTTTGGAGATGTGTCGATGGGAGTGGTGCTGTCGGTGCTGAGGATGAGGATGTTGTGAGTGATTTGCTGAATTGAAAAGGATATCAGCTTATCAGATTATCAGCCTATCAACATCATCAGTAGTAAGGCTAAAGTAGACTTACCTGCAGGGCGTACGCTGTTTGTGCTCTGAGATACGAGTACTTGATTGCTATCAGCTCCTGCTGCTGCTGCTGCCGATGATGATGATAAAGGCAACCCTCCAGTGTGAATGTTGATTCGATGTCGCACTGAGCCGCTTGTCTGGTAGGCATTTCGGTACACCTCGACGATTCCTCCTGAGGAGGAGGAAACGGAAGTAGCCTGACCGTTTGACTGAAGTGCCCCATTGCTGAGACCTCCATTGGTCTGCGTGGCACACTCCACGTACTGCACCGTCTCGCTCTTGAGGGCGCCGACGATGGCGGCAAACTGCGGCAGGCGCTCCAGTTCATCACCAAAGGTTCGCCGAAGCAGGTGAATGATGCGCACCCGGCGAGCGGCCGAGTCCTGTCGACTGAGCAGCGCAATGGAGTCCTCCGTCCGACCAGGTCCTCCAGAACCAGAATGTCCTCCTCCTCCTCCTCCTCGAGAGCTAAAATCGCCGGTTATTCCTTTGCCGCTGTTGTTCATTCCACCACCACCACCACCTCCACCTCCTTCCGACGGCTCGTCTGCTCGTTCAGAAAAGCTCTGACTGGCGACTGCTTACAAAAAAGGCAAAAATATTTAGATTTATACAGCAAGTTCAATTTTTTTGGTTTTCCAGACAACTTACGGTGAAAGCGCCGGTTCCGCCCTGTCTGCCGGTCCAGCGCCTCAGCAGCTCTTACGGCTCTAATGTGCTCTTGAACATTGGCGGCAATTTTGTCCTGTTTGCTGATGCGAAGTCGGCTGAAGAAGCCGCCGCCACCACTTTTGTTGCCGCCAACTCGACCAAAGCCGCCGCCGCTGCCACGAGTTTTGTTCATCTTCAGCTGGTCGCCCCCTTTGCCAGTCATTCCCTTGCCTTTGGAGTGATTGTTGTTGTTTGCTCCGCCTGATATGGTCGACACAGCTCCACCGCCGCTTTGATTGTTTGCATTGAGGGCGGCAATGTCAAGCTTTCGGTAGTGGGTACCGCTGAAAAGTAAAGTTGCAAAGTTAGTTTAAGTAATAAAAATCTAAATAATAGGCAAACATTTACCTCGGCGACTCAATGCTAAAGTCCGACGTCGAGTGAGAAGAGTGTCGACTGACGCCTTTGCCCATATCACCACCTCCTCCTCCACCGGAAATGGAGGTACTTCCACCATAGTTGGCCGAATCTCCCTTTCCGCCCATCGTCGTCGTCGAAGAGGAGGGCAACTGCGCGGCCATGTAGCCGATGTGACAGCGGACGTTCTTTGCCGTGGTGAAGTAGCTGCGGTTGTTCTTTTCCGGTTTGAAGAGCATGATGTACAGCTTGGGGAAGAAGAGGAGGAAGAGGGCGACGATGGCGCTGAAGCTGATGCACAGACTGAGGCTGATGACGTTCTCGTCGGAGTTGTAGTAGATCGGCACAAAGGCGATCCAGATGACCAGCGTCGTGTACATCGTGAAGCCAATGAACTTGGCCTCGTTGAAATTCTCCGGAACGTTTCGCGTTTTGATGGCGTACAGTGTGCAGAAGCCGATGAGGACAAAGTCAAAGCCCAGTGGGGCGGAAATGCCTTAAAAAAGTGATAAAAAGTGATGAAAGTTAACAATTGAAACTCATTGTAAAAAAGTTTTACTTTTTTGAAAGCAACAGGTTGTGCGTTATAAATTGTAATAATTTTTACTATATTTTAATTTTAGCACACATAATTTTTATCAAGCATTTTGCAAAAACAAAATCACTTATTGAAAACACAAAAAAGAGATAAAACTATTATAACTTTAAACCTACTAAGTTCATTTCTGTTTTTGCTTCTGTTAATTATGCATCTCAGACTACTGACCTCTTATGTAAATTATGAAAAAATATTCTGAATACGCCTATATCATTTGCTGTAGAAATAGCGCCACTATTTAGGAGGTCAGTAGTCTGAGACGCATATGTTAATGCTATGTTAGCAATTTTTATTTTATTTCATTGACTCAATTTCTTAGCCTCATTAAGAAGATAGGAAAAAATAAACAAATGAGAATTAATAAATTCACTCCCATGCCCAATGGTTTTGTCGGAAACTTATTTTGTTGTTGTTGCCCCACTAGCAAACACACAATGTTTTCTTCTTCAGTGTGTGTGTGCGGGCCTGTTTGCTGCCTGCAGGCATTGACAAGGCCAAACATCAGCAAAGTAGGCATCAGCTGCAACAGCAATACACAAATCACTTTTTTCAAACAAACACAATCTCACAAGCACTCTTCGTTTTCATCGATTTTTTCTCTATTTTGCAAAGCCCCGTCCCATCTACGCTTACGTTTGCATCCGTTTGTCTGCAGTGCAAAAGTCTCATTTTTTTGCTTTTACTTTGGTGTTTTTTACTGTGCCGGTGCGGCGATAAGCGGTCTCAGTCGACCAATCGACTATGGTTCAGCCTGCTCGGCACCGGCACAAAATGGCCAATTGACCGAGAAAAAAGAAAAAAAAATTTGAGCAATAAACAGCACCGAGGTGAGCATATATGAGTGAGAATATATGAGTGTTTGACTGTCTGTTTGTTTGTGTGCGTGTAAGCTTCATGTGAAGGTGCACTTTGAAAGCAGTGCAAGTACAATTTAGCTGACGTCTTTAATCGCCAAATAACCGTAGTGCTAAACGATGAACTTTTTTCTTTTTTAGCACTTACAATTCTTATCTGATAAAGCACACTCACACACACGCACTGACTTGCACTTGTAAACGCCAATTGATACAACAACTAAAAAAGAGGAGGAGGAAAAAGAGGGGAAAAACAAAGAATAAAAATGTCTAAAGATTGAAAGTCTTTTAGCACTTTTGCAGCGTGTTGTTGGCAATGTGTTTTTTGTTTGCAGTGTTTTTTAGTCAGTGCTCGTATTGAGAAAAAGAAAACAGAAGAAGAAGTAGTTAACTGTTTGACTGCCGTTATTTATGTGGGCCATTCGCCTTTATGGCCGCCCATTAGTCAGCAGCCAACACACAGAGTCGACCCCTAAAGACTGAAACGACCCATCGCTGATCAACGAGGCAACTAGGCAACTAAAGAGTCAGTCAGTTTGTCAGTCATTTAGTCAGTCAGAAAGAAGGGTTCCAGATCTCCCAACAGAAACTTTTTTGTTCACTCTGACCAACTGATTTGTAGTTCTCAACTGACAGCAGAGAAAAAGCGTAATTTTTGGCGTTCAAAATAATTCAAAAAACGATGATCAAATGAGTTAAATTTAAAGCAGTAATTGGTAAAGAGTAAAGTACTGTGCGTCTAGTTTTTAGTGTGTTAAAATTAAAAATTGTCAATTTGTCTGTCAGTTAGAGACGCTGGTTGCCCCTGATTACTTGGTTGCCCTTTAGCACTAGCTAACTTTGGCGCAACAATGATGTCAGATAGTAATAACAATAATAATTATAATTATGGCGTGGTAGTGATAGGATGGAACCACAGGAGTGCAAATAAATTAGCGGCAAAGTAGTGTGTTAAAGTGCACAAAAGCTACTAAAATAAAATAGTATTTTAAAGTAAAAAATAAATAGAAAAAGAGTTTTCTCTTTAAAACACTAGCATAGTAAGGGTTTTGAGCAAGTTTTAGCCCAGTTGGGTTGTTTTTAAATAATAATATTGGCAATAAATTAAACATGACTAAATTTTAATGAACCCGCATCATTTGCAAACTTTCATTTTAAAAAAATGCTTGTTTCTTGCAGAAACGTAGGCAAACACAATCAAAATTTTATTTTGCTACCAGTGCATTCTACAATATGGACATTAAAATAAAACAAGTTTTCAGTATCACTAGCTGCTCATTGAAACAGTTTAAAAAACTTGTTTATTTTTAAAAAACAAATAAAAAGTTTGCACTGCCAACACAATCATCTTTTTGTGTAACAATAGCAGCAGTTAAATGAAAACACAATAAATTAAAGCGATTTAAACGTTTTGATGTGTTTTATGTAGTGTATCATTTTTCTGTTATTTGTTTGATTAAAACTTTATGATGATAATGGCCGCAATGGCAAAAATGAAGTTTTTATTTTTATTTTAACAATTGCATCTAAATGACGCAATGTTTGAAATTTGGATAAAACAATTTATAATTTTTAAATTTGAAATTGAAAAAAGGTAATACTAAAGACATTAACAAACAGTTTTTATTACCACTATTAACTTAAATAATAATCAAAATTAAACATGTAGTTAAAAAATAAAACTACAACGTTAAAAAATAAAACTACAACGTTAAAAAATAATTTTTAAACACAAGTTTCAAAATTAGAAATATAGAAATGGCTAAAATGAGTGTGCACATTAATTTAATTTTTCTCTAATGTGTTTAAACAAAAAAATAATGATTTTTTATTTGATTCTATTTGGGTTTATGTTAATTACTAGTCAGTGTCAAGCAATGCAACAACAACAAAATTATATTTATTAACTAAAAAATGTTTTTTAAATAAATAATATTTTTAAATTAATAAATCGACAAACTATATTGTTGCCATTGAATAAATAAAACCAAAAATGTTAAAAATGAGTAAAAAAATTTTATAAAAAGTTTTATTGTTGTAATTTACAATGCAATTTTAACAATCAACTATTTTAAAATAAAAATTTAATAAACTCAATTGAAAAACTTTGATCAGTAACCAGAGGTCAAAACAATACCAAAAACTTTGCGCTGATTGCCATTGACTGTTGCCGCTGTTGCTTTTTTTGTTGTCCTGAATGAAAATTAGGCAATGTGTAATCATTTGAAAAAGCACAAATCAAATGTTAACTAAATTTCCAACATCAAACTGCATCATTGGGTTGCATTTTAATGATACTTACAACAGTTTAAAATTGTAAAACTTAGAGCACACGTATAAAATTGATAAAAAAAATTTAATTGCAACACACAATTGATCGATTGCGCCTAATGTTAATTGTATGCTGAACTTTTAAAATAATTTTTTGTTTAAATTAATTTTAACTTACTAAATAACAACTATGTTCAACACAAATTGTACAATTTTTAAGCAATTTTATGAGCATTCAAAATCTGTTTTGTGAAATAGGCAACTTAAAAATTAAAATACACATTCTTGACATTATAAAGAATTTTTTCTAGCCTACGGTTTGCATTTATCTACTCGTTTGGTTTGCTTAAATTTTCAATGGTGGTCGATCCCTTTACTTTGTTTAGCTTTTTACCAATAAAACCATCTTATAAAAGTCACTTTAAGCAGTCTGTGTGTGTGTTTGGTAAGTGCTCCTTGCACATTAATCTGTCTGTCGTTCTGCCTGTTTTGAGTTGTATTTCCAGTTCTGTCTTCGGTCTCTGTGCACCAAAAATAGAAATAGTGCGCCAAGCAGGCAGTAGTTTTTGCCTGTGGCAAATGGGCATCGATCCATTTCAATTAGCCGGCAATAAATAGACAAGTAGCAAAAGTAGTGAAAAAGTAGTAAATGAGCAAAAAAAGAAAGAAGAAGTAGAGAGTTAAAGGCAATTTGCCAATTACTGATGCTGCTGCTGCCCAACGAAACCGTAACCCAAGAGTCAAGAACGGCATAAAAATGACACCGTGAAAGCGAAAACAAATAAAAATAAAGACAAAAATGCGCAAAAATAACAAAAAATTCTAGTGACATATTGGTAGGTTTTTCGGTTTTAATCGGTGGAATGCTTCAATTTTACAGAAAGCTGTAATGCGTTTTTTTGTCAACTCATTTGTTTTGAGCGGAAGAGTTAACAACAAAAAAGTTTCAACTTTCTAAACGAGCGCCAACCAGCACTAAACTCCGGAATAGTAATGCTAATTGCTAATTAGACTGATATATCAATTCACCATTATTCTCTTTGTTTCGTTTCCGCTGTTTTGTTTTCTCTTTCTCTTCTGCCCCCCCCCCATTTGCCACTTTTTCTTGTCTACTTTCCAATCAGTTGATAATTATTTGCATCCGTCTTTGAGTTTCTAGCCGATTCTTCCTCATTTAGGTTGCCGCCCAGTTTTCCCTCTCTCTCGGGTTTCAAACGGGTCGGTCCTAGTGTTCAGTGATGTTGCTGCTGCTGTTGCTGTTGCTGATACAATTATCCTAAACATCCGAAATGGAACCAAAATGGAGCAGATGGTTGAACTAAAGAAGAAGATAGACACACACACACTGCATCGGAAAGATGTCTCAATCGGAACGGAATCTAAAAAAAGCAAAGCAACAACTGCATCAGCAGCCAAAGAAAAGACAGTGACAAATGACGGTGAGCTATTGGGTGAAACAAAAACAAAGCTAAAAAGAAAAAAAAGTGAACAAAGTTTGGCACTAAGGGGCAGAAGAAGCCGTCGATGCTGATGCAGATGCTTTCATTTTGCCCAAATTTTTTTGCCCTATTTTGCTTTACTAAAAGTGTTCACCCACTTACAAAAATGTCAGTGAAAACGGTGATTTGTTTCGATTAGAACGTGCTTTGAGAGATTCACGAAAACTGAAACCCTTTTATAACAAATTGAAGGAAAAGTGCGAAGCTAACTAGTTTGACTGGTTTTTTGCGGTAAAACGCAGGCAAAATAGTGAAAATGAAGTATTTTGGTGCTTTCACTGGCTGCTATCAATCAGTGGTTAGCAATGCGAAAATTGAGTAAAAAATTAATATTTGCGTTGCCTATATGTCAGCTTTTGCTTTGTTGGTTTTTCAAATTTTTTGATATTTTTTTCCAGTAAAAATGTGTTTTCATCAGTGTCGCTGGGTAAATGTGTGTTTAGGCAGAACTTAAAGTTTTATTTCATTTCCATTCATTTTCATCACTGATCAGTTTTGCTTAGCGCCCCCTTTTACTTACGCTAAAAGAAAGTGCTTGCAACTGATTTTCCTAGAAATCATCATTTAGCGCACTGCTGGTTCGAATAAATTTTACCCTTTTTGTCAATTTGTTTTGCCGAATTTTGTTTCTAAGCATTAACATTATCAGTTTGTTTGTTGCAATTTGAAATGAAATGATGCGCTATACTGCAAATGCAAATGGAAATTTGATCAATATTTACTTTGCATAGTCAGTCATTCAGTTAGTATGTCAGTGAGACAGTGAGCCACTCAGTCACTCAGTCACTCAGTCAACCTTTTTTTTTCCAAATCAGCTCATTTTTATTTTAATTTTTTACATTTTATAAAACACTTTAAAAACTAATTTCCATTTATTCAGCTTGCAAAAACAAAATAAATGTACATAATATTGGTTTTTATCTATTTAGTCTAAACTTTTTTTCTAGTTCATCGACGCTTATTGAAAACTTTTGATTAAGAGGAGCATTGGAAGAAATGGGCTAACAGTAATATAAATGCCACTGCACTGCCAACCGTGGTCAAGACACACAAAGTACATTAAATAACACATACACATTAATGGGTTGTGCCACACTGCTTAACCTAAACCAGCACACTATTTTTGCTTTAGCAGCTTATTTTCCTTTCATTTTTGCCTCTCATTCCTTCTTCTTTCTTCCATCTTTCCCTTGATTAACCGCCACTGTCACACAGCTTGGAACTAGTGTTCTTCTTCCAACATGGGCCTACAAACACACAACGACTCAGACTCATTTTGTGGATTACATCTTTTTTCTTTTTTTTGGCACGCCAAAAAGTCGAACACAAAAAGCGAGCACAAAAACTGTGTTGTGCGTTCCCTACCACTGCTCGCTTTTTGCCGATGATTATGAACTTTTTTTGCAACCGCTGCCGCCGCCGTTGTCGCTGCTGTTTCTGCAGCCATTGCATCGTTTGCACCCAATAAAGATTAGCAAGTGAAAATGAGGATGAGCAAACGGCAAAAAACAAAAAGAAAGAAAGAAAATAGAAGTCGGCGTCGGCGGCTTTAGTTGTGGCATTGGCAATAGTGGCAGTGGTGGTAACGAATAAATGGCAAATGAAACGAAAGAAAAAGTGAGTGCGAGAAACAGTTGCTAATAAATGCTTAAACAAAAATTTAGCCAGCAAGCCAGCGTCGACGTCGTGGGTTTCGGCGGTGGCATTGCCAGGCAAATAGATAAATATTGGAAATAACAGACATACACAGTAATAATGAGATTATTATTAATAGGCCAAGAAGAGACGGACTTGCTGGCTTGCTGGTGGCTAGTGGGAACTGCAGATAGAAAATGTGCGTTTGTCTTCGCTAGCACAAAAGTTCACTAGAACACACATACTTTGGGGGTAACTTTTTCTGTGGGTGATAATGAATAATCGCACCACCAAAGCTGATGCTACTGCTGCTAAAGTGATGCCATTTGCTGTGCAGTTTTTTTGTGTGAGTCAGTGAGTTTTTAAACAACACCGCCAAATTAACTGGGCAAATCTTTTTATCATACACTGTCAATGCAAAATAAATGAAATCAGTCCAGAACGTTTGTTTTACTCAGAAACAAGTTGGAAAAGTTAGCGCAAACAAATAATTAGCTATTTGCTGTATCTACTTTAATTCATCTCATTAAACAAATTTTTTTCAAATGTAGCGGATGAGCTATCGGTGAGGTTTATTGTGGAGATGATGGGGAGTCACAGAGAAGGAGAGAGTGGTGGTGGACGGAGTAACAGTGTAACAGAGTCTGGTGATGTGAAGACTGACTGTTCTCGTCGTCTGTGTGCTACGTACGGTAGGTCTTATATACCGTCGTGTGAGGGGTGACAAGAGTGTGAACTGTGATGTGTGTGAGTGTGACATGAGTGAGATGTGATGTGTGTGTGAGTGCAAATGTACGTTGGGTCAACGTTGGTTGAACGTGAGTGAACGTCAACTGTGGCTGGCGCCACACAAAATTAAATTTATTATTTTTTGTAAAACTTTTTTTTATTTTTCAGAGTTTAGATTGAAACATGGACACAAACTTTTGTGAAACAGATGACTAAAAAATAAAAGTTTGTTTTTGTTGTTTAATTTTTTTGCACTAGCTGGCTGCTGGTAATTTTTTTCTGTCTAGTTTGTACTCAAAAACTAAATGAACTCAGCTGGTGCATGTTTGAAATGCGGGCACAAAACTAAATTTCTAAACAAAACGAGCAGTCATAAAAGCATTTTTCACTTAGCGGACAACAACAACTGTTGTTTGCACTAAAATTGGGGCAAGTCTTCTCATTGTAAAAAGCAAAACTTAGCGTCAGCAAATGAATGATAAAAAATGAAAAGTTAATCTTTTATACTTTCACTAAAACAAAAAGAATAACTATAAAACTGTTCAGCAAACACAAATGAAATGATAATAAAGTCAGTAATGCAGTTCTTTTTTCTATTCCTCTTTTTTTATAAACACATTTGCAAATCTCACCTAATCCTTGGTTTTCTTCTTTTTCTTCTTTAGTTGACATTTCTCTATTTTTACACACTATCAAAATGGTGCCAGCAAATTCAACAAAGCCTTTTATTTTTTACTTTTCGCTTTAATTCATTTGAGCACTTAGCACAATATTTCGTCTTTAAAAACTCTCGTTTAAACTTAAACAGTTTAATTACCACTCCTTTTTGCGTTAAACTGATTTTATCTTTTTAAAATCTTTTATATGAAAAAAAAACTAATCAATTAACAGTTTTGCCAGCACTTACCTAGCACTTTAGTGTTGCAGGTGAGCATCACCCTATTGAGCGACGGATACTTGAACATCTTATCGACCGGCTCCTTGATGAGCACCGTCACGATGATGCCCACCTCGACGCTGATCAGCAGCCAGGTGATCACCACCTGGGCGGTGGCCGACATGAAGCGGGGCTTCTTGGTGATGATGCGCTTCTTGCTGCCGGCGAGAATGCGCGCAATGCGATTCGTCTTGGTGACCAGGGCGGCGTACATGATGGCGAAGCTGAGGCCGGGCAGGATGCGGGTGATGTAGCAGGTGATCTTCGAGGGCTTCGCTATCAGCGCAAAGGTGGTACTGTGGCAGAGGAACATGCCAAAGAGGATCATGTAGGAGAGCTCGCGGGTGCTCGACTTGACGATGGGCGTGTTGTTGTGGCGGATGAAAACGACCATCGTGAAGAGGGTCATGGTGAAGCCGAGCAGGGAGGTGCTGATGGAGACCAGCGAGGCGGTGTCCGTCCAGCGGATGAACTCTACGGGAATGGGTTTGCAGCCTGATCGGGGGGTGTTAAAAAAGTGTAGGGTTACAAATGAGGTAAAATATAGGAAAAAAGAAAGGAAAGTTGTGCTAGCGGTTTTACTTACCAGTTAGGTCCTCATTAGGCCAGGTGCCAATCTTGCACGGTTTGCACTTTTCCTCTTTGGTCAGATACTCATTCTCGCGGCAAGGCACGCAAATCCAACAGCATTTAACTGAGTCAGATTGAATGTTCTAGTTTTTTTATAAATGTGGGAATTTTTGACAAATTTAGCATTAGAAAACATGATCACTCTTTTTTGCAAAAACTACCTTCAACCTACCTTTGCCGTCCCCTTTGGACAGGGCTGCGAGCAAACCGACACAGGAATGGGCGTGTGCTTGTTGGGCACTTTGAAAACTCCCGTATAGTTGGAGGCAATGACCAGATCCGGCTTCCTCGGCCACTGCACCGTCTTGAAGATGCGGAAACCAGTCAGGCTCTCCTGCACCTTCCGCTCCTGATCTTTACCACCGCCACCATTTCCGCCGCCATTGTTATCTTTGCCATCCCCGCCGCCATTGTTCATCATCCCTCCCATCATCATCTTCTCACCACTGCCCGGCTTAGCTGCGGTCTCCTTGGCGCCCCCCACTGAAAAGTTGGGAAACTCCGCCCGTCGACTGGTGTGCTGGTCACTGCTGATCCACTCTCCGACCTGGACGTACTCAAACTCGCCCTTCTTCAGCTCCTGGAAGTTCATGATGTCGTAGCGGCCCGGCGGGTCGCCGTGCTTGTCGAACTCCACCAGGTCGCCGTCCCAGTTGAAGCGGACGCGGTTCAGGTGCTGCAAGAGGACGCTCCCATTCACCGGCAGCATGTCACTGCACAGGCCGGCCACCCGGGGCCCGCAGATCTCCTGCTGCATGCTGTGCAGCCCGTGGGCCATCGTCCAGATGGCTTTGATCACAAAGGACATCTTGTTGTCCTGTTTGTAGCGCGGTCGGCGGCGGCTGACAAAGTCCGACAGCCGTTCCTCGCCGGTGCACGGTCGGCTGAAGGTGACATTGTTGGGGTGGTTGATCACCTGGCCGGTGGCATTGCGCAGGCTGCAGTTCATCTGCCGCTCCCAAAATTCATTGAACCACGGGTTGCGGCGGTTGTTGGCCGGCGTCAGGCCGAAGTAGTAGTCGTCAAAGTCGCGCACAAAGGGCGAGTAGATGCGCACCGTCAGGCTGCCCTGCGCCTCCTTCTCTACGCCCTTCACCACGTCAGGGCGGTCAGACCAGCCGTCACTAGGAAAAAAGTGAAGTAAAATGGGTTTTTGTTAAAAAATGAAGTTAAAACTTAACCAATTGGGAAAAGGTTTGAATAGCTTAAGTTAGGTTTACCTGCCCACAAGGAGAAACTCGGTGGTGAGATTGAGGCGCTTCTTCGCCCGCAACAACTCTTTGACGGAGCTGCCCTCGCAGAAGCAGGCCACCACTCGGGCGTTGGGGTACTTCATCAGCGAGTGGACCACCGCCTCAAAAACGGCGTTCTCTCCATTCGCCGGAATCGATTCCATGTGGGCGATGCAAATGCCCATCTCCTGGGCGTTTGACTTGAAGATCTCCATCAGGCCGCTGCCGTAACTTCCTAAAAGGTTTTAGAGATTTGGTTGGTTTGCAGGTTAATATTAGAGTTTTGGGTTAAGGTATGAACACGTAGATTGTTTTGACGCAAAAGTCTTACCGTCTGTGTAGATGACCGACACGTAGGTCCAGTTGTAGTGTGCAAAGAGGCTGGTCATCACCTGCGCCTGGTGAAAGTCAGAGGGCACGACACGGAGGAAGAACTTGAAGAAGTTTTTATCGCTCAGGTCCTTGCTGGTGGCGGAGTAGCCAATCTGCGGAATGTTAAAGAGTTGCAGCAGATTCTGCACCTGAATGGAGTTGGTGCTGGAGGCGGGGCCGACGACGCCTACGATGTTCTTCGCCTTCTTCACCGCCTTCGGACAGGGCGTGCTCAGGTTGAAACGAGGCCCGCCAAAGGGGGAGGCGGGAAAGAGGCCGAGGATGCGCCCGCCAGGCGGTTCATTGGGGTGATGACCATGACCATGACCTCCTGAGGAGGAAGAGGAGGAGGAGGAGGAGGAGGAGGAGGAATGATGATGTGACCCACCACCATCCAGGCCATGATCATGGTAGTCGGCGTCCCCGAAGACCGATCCACCCGACCCACCACCTCCAGGACTGGAGGCCGCTGCAAAGGCCTTCTCCTCTGAGGCGGCCATCGCATCGCGGATAAACTCAATCGACTGCTCCAGGGCGATGGCCGAGTACCAGCAGCTGTCGCGAATCTCAATGCCCAGCGTAATGTTGGGGAGGATGGCCGGATTGCGGTTGATAGCGTCAATTGTCTGGAAGGCCGCCTCCACACGGTGGATGCCGTACTGCTCGCGCACTTCGCCGCAGGTCCTCGTGGAGGCGGTTTGCATTGAGGGCTGCTCGCGAATCGACAGCAGACAGCCGATCACCAGCTGACCGGGAATGGTGGCCACCTAGGTTGATGATTGGGATGAGATGAGATGAACAGATAAAAGGGTAAAAAAACAAAAACTGACTAGAAAAGACAACAAACTAAACGGCAAACTATTTAAATCTTAAACTGTTTAGCAAAACAAATTACGGTTAGGCAATCAAAAAAAATCAAAACTGATTAGTTTTGGTTTTGGAGATGTAAGGAAGAAGCAGCAGCAGCATCAAGTAAACTGCCAGCAAAATTTGTTTGTGCAGCAGGCGCAAAATTGGCCCTACTTCATTTTCAATTAACCAACCAGCAATGTTCAGTGTGTTTGTGAGCTTTTTTAACGGGAAAAGATTCAAGCAATTTTCCAATTGAATCAGCCCAATTGGAAAACTGACTAGTACAACAGCGAAAGATAGTGATAAAAAACAACGACAAAAGACAAACAGTCAGCGATGCACCTAAATTGGTTTGTTCCTTTTCAATTTGGCCAATCAGTCTGCAGTTGACAACCGTTTTGCAACCGCCTTCAATCGTCATCGTTTTCGTTCAAAAATGAAATTATTTTAAAAATATAAATAAAAGAAGAACTTCTCATCTCCTGCTGGTTTTCCAAATGCAGTAGTCACTATTCTACTCTTGAATTTTTGCTAATAATCATCATACTGTTAATAATATTATTTTTATTTTTATTTTTTAACATTAATATTAATATAGACACAGACAGAGACAGACGAAGCTGATGGGCGACCTTTTGGTGGTCCAATTTCATTGAAGGGCACCGCCATTTTCTTCAAAAAAAGAAAAAATAGGTTGATAAGGGCACCAAAAACACATAGACAGAGTTGTAGAAAAGAATAAAAAAAGTAAAAAATAGATTTGCAATGAAGATTAATTGAAGCAAATCAGCAGGGAAAGGAAAAGTCAAGCTAACTTTCTCCTTCTTCTTTTTCATTTTCTGTTGAGCGCTAAAATCTGATCTAATCTAAATTATATTTGCCTCATTTTTGGAATAATGAAACAGGGAGCATGAAAAGGAGAATGATAATTTGCCTTTTACTTTTTAAAGCAGCTACATGACTTCAGTAGAAGTAGTAGTAATTAGTTAATCATCATTAGCTAATTTGGTTATGTTGCTACTCGTTTTTTGACTACAAAACAGGGCAAATGTTTTCAGTTTAACTTTCTCATGTTTTTTGACATTTCTGCCTCAATAGTGATCGATTGTTTTAAAAAAGGGCAGAAAATGAAGAAGATAAAATTGAGTCGTTTGAACACATAGAGCACATTTTTATCTCTATGCTCTGCTTTCAAGTAGACAGCAATCGAAAGTCAGTCAGTGTAATTATACACAGAAACTGCAGTGTTAAAAGAGAAGATGCGAAACAGAAAAAAGGTGCCATCACACTGTGCTAACCGAAAAAACGAAAGTGATAAATGAAGTATGCAAAAATATGGCTTTCAATGGCAAACGATTGATTGTGCGCCAGGGCGCCAATTAGCGGTCAGTCAAAGCATAGAATGAGAAAAATGGAGTAAGCGTGCAGCTCATAAGAACCCAAAGTTTTTGTATTAACAAAAACCAAACACACTTTAGTAAAGGCAGCACCTTTAAACCTAAAAAGAATTTCAAGAAAAACCTAGTAAAACAAAAATGGTTTCTGTTTTTATCATTTATCTTTTTTGTCAACTTAAACAGCTATTTGATTATGTTTGTGCTAGTGTGTTACAAAGCTTCAAACTAGTTTTTTGATCAGTAATATTTCAATTAAAAGGGTGTTAACAGAGTGCTAAAATGTACTTTGATTAAAACAAAGTTAAAACAGCTGAAAACAGTAAAAGTCTTTGTTGAAAGTTAAGGTCATAAAAAGTTAAGGTTAATTTGAGATAGTAAGGGAAAAAACTAATTGTCAATAACAAAATTAGAAAAAAAGAAGAAAATTATTGCCTTACAAACAAATCAAGCGCACGCACTTTCACGCGTCCTAGTAACGCTGGTCAATGCTGTTTAAAAACGCACACACGCGACTGCAAATGGCAAACACACAAGCGAAAATGCCGGAAGTTTGTCAACTGTTTTGTTCACTCTTTCTCTCCTCTAATCTTTTTCAACTAGCTTATACTCAATGCTATTGATCTAAAATAAAAAAACGGTGGTTAAACTGATAAAACGTTTTTCTTTTTAAAGCGTAAATAAACGCAAACTTAACTTTAAAATAAAATTGTTAAAAATTAAAAGTCATCGATGTTTACCTGTTTAGCGTGCTGGCCAACAGTGGCATTTGGCAGGCCACAAAGCAGCAGCATTGACAGCAGTGGCAATAAAAGAACATTGTTCTTTCCATTTGACCACTTTGAGCTGAAAACATTTTTATGCTTTTGATGGTGGTAGGATTGACTTGACAAAGTTTGCAGCAATCTAATTGCAGCTGCTGCTTTGATTTGAGATCGTTGAATTAAGCTGGTGAATTGAAGAAAAAAAGATGAAAACAGAAACTGCTGAGTAGCAGCAAGAAAGCAGCCGAGCAAAAACTGATAATGTAAATGAATAAAAACAAAAAAGAAGGTGAGAAGTGATGAGTAGAAAACAAGTGAAGTAAAGATGGTTGTAGAAGTGATGATATTGATAAGAATAGAAATGCTGTTATTGATGATGATGATGAAAAAGAGGAGCAAGAGGTTGTTGATAGACCAAGTTGTTGATAATTGGCCCGAAGAACCGGCTCGTTTTGCTGCAAAAAATCGAAGTTCACCGGTCTCTGCCAGAGTAGTAATTGAGTAGTTGTGGATCACTGTTGTCTGCTTATCATAAGTCGCTTGCGTTGTTGACAAAGTTGAGAGTGTGGTTGATAATGCGAGAGGATCCTCGGGAGAGTACTCATCATAGGGGTCATTGTTATCAAAGTCAGTGTTAGGACACTGCTGTGACCTAAAATACGGGTCGTTTGGTGGCTTAAATTGGCAGCCGCCGCCGCCGCCTTTGCTGCGACCTGGTCTTGAGGCCATGTCGCCTTCTTCTTCTTCTTTCGTTGTTGACTTTGCGTTAGTTTGTCCTGCTTTTCTGCTTTTTGTTCCTGCTCAAGCTTTTATATGGTTTGCAACGTCAAAAAGTAATAGCAAAAAGAAAAAAGACCACCTAAATTCACCAGAAACCACAGCTAGGCAAACTAGTTTGGTCCAAGTTTGTCAGCTCATTTGACATTGAAATCGAAAGTAAAAGGGGGAAAAGAGAAAAAGAGTGTGCTCAAAGAGACTGGCAAACTGTCGTCAAAGTGCCAGTCAAGCGAATCGGGGTTGATTCAGGCAAAATTAAAATTAACAGGAAATAGCACTGATGAGAATGAAGATGATGACGCAAATTGGCGATTGAAAGTTTTAAATTAAAATGACAAAAAACTTAAAATTAAAATACTTGTCAGAACAGGCTGTTGCTGTTTCTGCTGTTTGCAGCCGTTTCAACAATGAGAATTTTATTTCTTTTTTCAGCGTCGTTTTCCACTGAAACCTTGGTTTCTAAAATTAGCAGCAATATATTTTGATCGACTGCTGTTGAGCCAAGGATGAGTCGACAAAAGGATTTCCGTTAAAATGCGGGTTTTGTTTTTGTTCCAGCAGCAGCAGTTGTGACGACAACAGTTGTGAACTTTCAAGTTTTGGGCTGATGAAAGCTGGTGGTGGCGATGATGGTTGAGATGTTTTAATGAAAACGCCAGCAACACCAGCAATTTTTTCTGCTGGTTAAATTGTCAAATCGACTGAAACGACTTGAACTTTAGCTGCAAAACGGCCAACGGTGTGTGTGTGATGCAACAGCTTACACAACAACAACTGGTTTGCAGGAAAAGGAGAGAAAGAGAAACCAAGATATGAGGTGAAAGGAAGAGAAAAAATGATGTCTAAAATGAGAGAGAGAGGGAAAGAGAAAAACAAGTAGTTAGTAATTGATTGGGAGGGAGAAAGAAAGGGAGAGAGGAAGAGAGGAAAAGAGGAAGAGAAAATGAGAGGACAACAATTTTAAAGTCGCGCACAGAGAAAGAGAGGGAAAGAGAAAAAGAGAGTCAGTTAAAGTCAGTTAGGCGCACACTGAGCCGGTTTAGCTGTCAACAGTTGACTGTCACAGTTGTCAGAGGTCAGGGAATGTAAGAAAGATTGAGAGCGAAAACAGATAAATAGAGGAAGAGAAAAAAGAGGGAAAGCTCACTCTTTACCAACATTTTTCGCCACACTGATCAACACATTAGGCGAGTAGCACTGTTACCACCACCACCGCCATCATTACCATTACCATTACCACTTCCATCATCATCATCAACAGCAACATCGCTACGACAACCGTCAAAGTTTGAACACAATTTACAGGAGCCACACTGAAGCCACTGTCAGCAAACAGTGATCATCAAACTGCTAACAAGATGACACTAATCACAAGCAAAAGGGAGGCACAGTAATTGCTGATAATAATTAGTGCAAAAATGCGGAGAATCAAAACACACACACACTTGTTGTGCTGATTGAATAGTCACTACCCCGCCACTTTCAAGTTAGCTGAAAATGAAAACAAGAGGAAAAAAAATTGTCATTTGCACAAAAAAGTGGTATTGATAAGTGTGTATGTGTGAATGTGCTTCTGTCTTTGTGATTGTTTGTAGCACACACACACTCATAGTGCACTTCTTACACACTGCAGAAGCGCCAGCAACCGAGGCTAATCAGCAGCAGCAACTGCAACAGCACAAAAAAAGAGTCAAAGTTAAAGTTTACTCAATGCTGTTTCTGCTGCTGTAATCAACTGCACTCAAACTATGACTGCCCCTTTAGCAATTGTTGACACACAAATGAAGACAATCGATCTTCTCTGTTTTTGTGTGTGTGTGTGTAGAGTTTAGATGCAAACAAACGAAACGTGCTCTGTGCAGCAGTAGCTGTTGCATTTCTCTCTTTTCTCCCACTATTTTTATCAGTTTTTACACT